GTTTGTTTGCTTAGAAAATAAGATTAATTTATTGGACACACAAACAAACAAACAAACAAAATAATAATCATATGTTTCAGTGTTGTCTAGTGTTAATGATATTATACATCAATTAAACAAAAAAATTAATTAAAACAATTTTTTTTGGTTGCCTTAAAATTAATCAATTTAATTGTTAATAAATAATATAAACGGATTCAAAGTTGTTGTAAATTCATAGACTTTTTTTTAATTAATACAAAAATACAGTAATAATAATACTATTATTAAAATTAGTTAATACTATATATAATGGTTTAAAAATATATTTAATATATATTTAATACCAAACAAACAGACAAACAAAAAATAAACGGAAAAATCATCGGATAATTGTTTTTTGCAGGAAAAGACTCATTTGGGGCACAAAATGTTTAATAATAATAATAATAATAATATAAGTATTTATATTATATGTTTGTTATGATTGTTATATTATATTTCTCTATCATCCAGAAAATTGTTATATAAATATTTATTTTTCTTAATAATAGTATAGTATATATAGTGTATATATATATATATAACTTATATATATGATAGTAATGGGTAATCTGTTATAATTAAATACAATACAAATTAAATGATGAAATGATAGTTAAGATGAGATAATACATGTATGTCTCTCTCTCTCTCTCTCTCTCTCTCTCTCTCTCTCATTGATGGCTCTCAGAGAGACACTATAGATATATAGCGGAAAAACCAATAAATTTATTTATATATATATATATACAGTCGATGACAAAATTGATGAACGAGGTTTTTTGTGTATATCTTTAGAATGGAAATGAACTAGAACAAAAAAAAATTTTTTGCTACTATTATTTATTGGGACGGTCAGTTTGGTATTGCCACTTTTTTTGTAATTGGGCACAGGTATGCAAGGACAGGGATGGTCAATATCTCGAAAACTATAATAGATATTAAAGTTTTATAAATTGCTAATTATACTAAATCTGATAATATTGGACACGTGTTTTGGCATTTTTAATTTTATTGCAAAGTATTCGAACAAAATTGATTTTTTTGTTGCAAAAATCAAAATTTAAGAGACCATATCTTTTAAATGCATCGATATATCATGATTTAGTTAATTGATTTAAATTCTATATTTTAGTACTAACAATTCATCTATACATTAAATTTAGTTATCTTGTTTAGTTTTTTAAATATTTGTAAATTAATTTTTTTCTATTGTAATTATTTATAGATTTTGTTATCAATGTTATGTAATAGAAGACAATAATTAGTACTTAATTACAATAGAAAAAATTAATTTACAAATATTTAAAAAACTAAACAAGCTAACTAAATTTAATGTATAGATGAATTGTTAGTACTAAAATATAGAATTTAAATCAATTAACTAAATCATGATATATCGATGCATTTAAAAGATATGGTCTCTTAAATTTTGATTTTTGCAACAAAAAAATTAATTTTGTTCGAATACTTTGCAATAAAATTAAAAATGCCAAAACACGTGTCCAATATTATCAGATTTAGTATAATTAGCAATTTATAAAACTTTAATATCTATTATAGTTTTCGAGATATTGACCATCCCTGTCCTTGCATACCTGTGCCCAATTACAAAAAAAGTGGCAATACCAAACTGACCGTCCCAATAAATAATAGTAGCAAAAAAATTTTTTTGTTCTAGTTCATTTCCATTCTAAAGATATACACAAAAAACCTCGTTCATCAATTTTGTCATCGACTGTATATATATAGACATTGATTAGACTGTATAGTATATACTGTTCCCTATTTGCCATTACAATAGTATTGTTGTTAATTAGCGCCTAATGTTGTTGAAGTAAATCAATTGAATTGCACTTTTTATATATAGATATATAGATAGATAGCTATATAAAAATCAATTCAATTTCAAATCCCAATATGTGGTAACTTATTATTGGCTGTTATTTTGTGTTTGACTTTTTATATATACATTATATATATATACTGACTGTTTGTACTGTATATATATAGCAATAAAAAAAACTTTTTGATTTTTATTTGTCACAAAAATTTTGGGTTCGTTTCTGAACTAAATAATTGATTTGATTTATATTTATTTTTTATTTATTTTTTTGCTAAAGAGAGACAAATTAAAAACAATTTGATTTATTAAATTAAATTAATCATTAATAGTAAACAGTAACAACATTAACAACAATAATAAAAAATTGTTTAATGAATTATAATTTATATCAAAAAAAAAAAAAGTTTTTTTTATCGACTCTCAAAAAAATATATAAATAAATATCAGACATAGACAGACATTAAATATATTTACTTTTTTTAAAAAAATGTTATCATTAGATGATATCATATTATATATATATATATATATATAGTTTATATTAAACTAACAAAATATATAATGGGGTCAGACATTAGGTGTGCAGACAATTACCCGTTCAATGAGAGAGAGAGAGAGAGAGAGAGAGAGAGAGAGAGAGAGAGAGAGAGAGAGAGAAATAGTTATAATACTTTACTTAAACATAACACACAAAAAAAAATATATATTTACTATTTTTATTGGCAGTCCTTGTAATTTATTGGACTATAAATTTCATCTCATTTTGTTTGATATTTTTTAGTTTTATTTCATTAAACATATTATGTTTTTTTTCATTTTTAGTTTAATATATATTGAATATATATATATATATATATATATATATATATATATATATATATATATACCTGTATTTTGGTGTAATTTTTTTGGGTGAACTGTTTTGCGTGTGTGTATAAAAATTTTATTTTATTTATTTTATTTTTCAATTGCAGAAACTGTATGATTATTATTATAATAATAATGTAATTTATTTTATTATTTTTTTCATTCATTAGTAATAGTAATGCCGTGTATTTAACGATATCCGATATCGACTAATATTTGTATATTTTATTTTTTGCTTTTAGATATATTATACTAATATATATACAGTATATATATATATTATTATATACTGTATATATATTTAATATTTATATACAGTATCTACTGTATATACGATGAGTAACAAGAAAAATAAATTTTAGTTAATATATTATTGTATTATTATTATTATTTTCTCTAATTTTAAACAACAAATACATATAGTTTATAAAACTATATAATATATATATATATATATATAAAATAGTATACATTATTATTTAATATTATATTTCATATCCATATATTTAATAAAACACACACACAATTACACACACACACACACACATACATACATACATATACACATACATATACATACATACATACATACATACACACACATACATATACACAAAAACACACACATATATATATATACATACAAATACATGCTATAGTTTATATTACTATAAAGTGCACATTATTGGAAAAAATTATATATATATATATAAATATATATATATTAGTTATATATTAGTTTAGATAAAAAACAACAACATATTATTAGGTAAATATACTGTATCATATTAAATATATTAGTCATATATTAAATGCTATTGAAAAATAAACACTAAATCACTACAATTATTTAGTGACTACTATTGACTATTTGACTAATATATATATATATACATACTGTATGTACTGTATCTATATTAATCAAAATATCAATATCTATTTATATTAATAATACAGTAATATATTATATACAGTATATATCGTATATATCATATAAAGTATTGTAATGAATAAAATATATTCATCTATTAGTTGGTAAATAGCAGTCTAACAACAAAAAAAACATTTATATAATAAATATATTGTAATAAATATATATCTATATAATATAAAGTAAATCTACTATTATATTGTTTATATTGTTTCAACAAAAAAAACAATACAAATAGTATCTATACTGAAAAAAATATGACAATGATGAGATTATTTGGATATAAATATATATAAATATATATATATATATATATATATATATTATAAAACCCTATCTATTTTTAGTTTATCAAAGCTCAGGTATCACTGAAACACAACAACAACAACAACAAAAATATTACCCAAAAAAAAATACTAAATGTTTTTTAGTTAAAATAAAAAAATCTTAGTAGAGATTAGATAGATATTAGGGATAATTGAATGCATAATAATATTTTTTTATATATATATACAGTATTTATTTCCAACAAAAAAAATGATATCATAGTAGTAGTAGATGTGATTATACAGAGCTTATATATGACAGACAGACACACACATACACACTCACTCACACACACACACACACTCACACACACACACTCACACACACACACACTCACACACACACATTCACTCACTCACTCACTCACACACACACATACACACACACACACTCACTCACTCACACACATACACACACACTCACACACATACACACATATACACACACACATACACTCACTCACACACACATACACACACACTCACACACATACACACATATACACACACACATACACTCACTCACACACATACACACACACACTCATACACATACACACATACATAGAAAATAGGTATGCATTTTGAGATTTAGTAATTTATTTTTAGAAATTTCTAATAAATTTCATGAAACAAAATATGAAACTAAAAATTTTTGTTTAATAATTAAAGTAAAAGTAAAATAAAGTAAAGAGAGAGAGAGAGAGAGAGAGAGAGAGAGAGAGAGAGAGTCTGTTAATCTGTTAAACTCAACAAATAGTCTCTAATTTCAAACATATATATATACTGTATATGAAGTATATTATGTATAATAAGTAATTTAAACAAATTTTTTAGTGGTTTTTTTTAAATAATGTTATATTAGACTACTATTACACATACATACATATAATACAAGTTTTTTTAAATAACAAAATAAAAACAGTATATTAAGGAACGGTATGTTATTTTTTTTTGTTAGTTTAATTAACTACACGACAAACAAACCAAAAACAAAAACAGGACTTACTTTCTCTTGTGTCGACCGAAGACACGGCGCTTGACATATATTCCACATATGAGATACCGGTGCTTAATAGGTATATATATTTATATATATAATATATGTAAATGTATATATGATCTCCCTGTGCTTTATGAATATGTAATTTCACTGAACAATAACACTAGCAAAAAAAAAAGATTATAATTACTAATTACAGGTATATATAGATATACTGTATATATATATTGTCGATATAGATATTAGAGAATATAATTATTATTAATTATTATTATTATTATTAAATGTAGACGACTGTCCTTTAAATAAAAAACTGAGTTAAATAGTTAGTTAGTTATATGTCCACTAATATATGTATATATATATATATTATTTTTTCACATATATATACTGTATATATAGATAGATAGACACTCCTTGCACTTGAGTGCTGCAGATTCTGCAATGCAGGGCTCCGGGGTTTTAATATGTGGTGGCATGACTTGCACACACACACACACACACACACACACACACACACACACACACACACACACGTCACATACACGTTGACTATATGTTGCAGAATATATATATATATATAAGTTATATAATATATATATTTATATAGTATATATATATAACACATATATACCGGTGCCTCAGCAGCACAAGTCATAGTCACTGCGGCAGAGAAGTGGTATTGGCTGATAGAGAACATATCGATCCATAGTAGTAGTAGTAGTAGTAGTAGTAGTGGTAGTATAGCTCATGTAGGAAATGCCTAACATACCCCTCAGTATATGTATATATATACTGTATATATATATATAGAATTATACTGTATATAAACTTATTTAATATATATATATATATATATACTAGTATTATATAATTACATATAGTATGGAAAACTATTGAAGAAACAAATATAAACAATTAAATATACAATAGTTATACAGTATATATATACTGTATATATTTCAGATGATATATACAAAACAAAAAAAAACAAAAAATTTAATTATTTTATTACTTATGCTGTCTTTTTTGTTGTTGTTGTTTAGTTTTATTTGTTGTTAAATATATATATATATATATATAGCTATTGTATATTTAATTGTTTATATTTTTTTTCAACCAATAGTTTCTATACTGTCTAATGTCTAATATACTACTGTACGATATGACACTTAACAAAATAATAATAATAATAATAATAATACTATATATATATATATATATATATATATATATATATATATATATATATATATATATATATATATATATATATATATATGTTTGACAACTTTTTTTGTTGTTTTATTTGTTTGTTTGTTTGTACGGTTTGGTGATATAATTAGCTGTCGAGATAAATATATATAAATAAAGTACAGTATATATAATGAGAAAGTTTGTATTATTATTATTATTACAGTATATAATAATAATTATTATATACACCGGAATACCTGTATATATACAGTATATTTGTATGTATTATATGTTATGTTATATATCTTATATAACATAATATTATTATAATAATAATAATAAGCATATAATGTTTTAGTTATTATTTTTGTTACAAAACAAAAATACTTAAACAATAATAACAATATACCTGTCATTAAAATGAAATAATAGAAGAAAGAGAGAGAGAGAGAGAGAGAGAGAGAGAGAGAGAGAGAGAGAGAGAAATCAACTGTTAGTTTTCACATACAAATTGTTGACTACAAAAAAAACTACAACAAAATTATTTTTAATATTTCAATAATGATTTTTTTTCATTATTTTAAAAAAATAACTTTATTTTCTAACTTTTTTTATCAAAAAAAAAATGATAGTTATATAAACATCACTCACTTAACTGTGAAACTTTAATAGCAAAATATTGAAATATAATTGAAGTAAAAAAAAGACAAAAATAAATATATATTTTTTTAGTCTATTATTTACTGTTCATTAACTATATATACTGTATATACAGTATATATATATTTATATATTATATAGTATTTTTGTTTTCTATGGGAAACAAAACAAAACAAATAATTATTTATAATAATAAAAGTTTTCAAACAAACAAAACAAAAATTGTATTTATATTTACTATAGTTTTTATTTTGATTAATCAAAATAATATACAGTACTATATATACTATATATATATAAAATTTAATACAATATATATAGTGTTATTTAAATTTATATTACACTTATTGCATATAAGTTATATGATTAAACTAATTACATACTCTATTATATATATATATATATATTTGACAATAATAATAATAATACTGTAATTATATTTATATATATATAAAAAACAAAAATGTTACTAATTTAACAAAACAATAATAACAAAAATATATATATATATATAATACAAACAAATTGTGATTAATCTATAAATAAATAATACACAGTTATAATAATAATACTACTAATATTAACGATGATGATGATGATGATTTTTATTATTATTATTTTAGTTTTTTTTATATATTTCAAATATATT